AGGTAAAGAATAAAGAGTTTAATTTAATATTTTTCTGTTCATGATTATTTTGATCACTTGTAAAATCCTCAATACACTCAAAACTGGCAGGACTAAGAGTATAAGTCATGAAGCAAACATGGCCTTAACAGTACAAGTCAACTAATATTTATAATTAATGTGGTATTATAAAAATAGAAAGTAAAATAGGTAATTACTACAGTTATGAATCATATTTCATCATCATTTTGATATTTAGTTGTAACAGTTATTTCAAAAGTGGTAATAAAAACTTTGAAGAGCCCTAGTGAAAAATTGATATTTTTGACTTATACTCTTAATACATAGCACGATAGATTTATGACCCTCCTTCTTTCTTACCTACTCGTCGGCGAGAGCCCAGAAACTATCAACAAGGACAGCTTGTACTGAGCGAGAGAGAGTACATTTAGCACAATTTAACATTTTTTAAATAGTTTATATGAAATAGCTGCTTTGTGTTACACTTTATGTTAAAAATAAAAACAGATTCGGAAAGTGGGTAAAATTCTGTAGTGCCCTATTTCAAAAAAAAAAATTTTACGTTTATTTTAACCAAAAATATTAAAAAAAAAATATTGTTTAAACAATTTATTAATTTACAACCAAATAGTGCACTAGAACTTTTTAAGACCTTTCATATAAAAAAAGAATCATCTCAATATCTGCCATAGTTTTTGCGTTATTTGATATAAACTTTTACATTGGAATTTAGTTATGCCCAGAATCGCGAGGAATGGCCTTAATAGGAAATGTTAGTCGGATTTTTTCATAAATGTAACTTGATCTTTTGTGTATAATCTTTGCTTTACAACTTATGAAACGCTCTGAATGAAATTTTAAAAATTTTAGAATGTATTTTGTTCATGATTTTATATTTTAATATGTGTTATCAATGTTGAGTGGCAATGCTTTTATAAATAATCTCAACGACTACAGTTGATTCAAATTCGACGTGCAGTAAAAGTAAACAAAACCAGGCTATGCCACGTAAGACTCCATAGGCGTGCGGTTTTGCTTTTATATTTCCTATTTCCTATCAAATTAATAAAACAGTATGTACAATTAAAGATTTGTTTACTATGAACAAAGAAGATAAAATATACAATGTTAGTATTATTTTCAAGGAAATTCAAAATAAACGTCCCTACTGTAAAATAAAAAGAAACTTATGGTTTGACAAAAATAATAAAGCAGTAATTGCAACGTTGTTTTGACACTTAATATCGAATCGAACATCATACATTATTTTTTAAAGTAAATTGTGTGTTAGTTCGAAACAAAAGTAGTAACTTATTATTATTTTTTCAGTTTTTATTTGAAAAACAATAAAATTCACGTGTAATTGTACATATTGTTTTAATAATTTAATACGAAAGCAAAACCGTATGTCAAATTTTGATTGATTGACAAAGAAGGCTTCTGGCTGAGTACAAAATAAACAACTGATCAAATCCTATCACGCGATATAGAAAATGAAAGGGGAGCTATAACGATTACTTAAGGAAAGAAAAAACAAACAGGGCGACCCAAAAGGGCACTACGAAGCATCTTCGTTATTAATGGATGTATACTTTCATACGAGATATCATAGTGCACTACGGATGAAAAAGCGTCTGACTGAGTACAAGATAAACAACTGATCGAATCCTCACATGCGACATAGTAAATGAAAGGGAAGGATATAACGAATATATTAAGATAGAAAATCAATTACATATCTTAATAGATTCGTTATATCGTCCCTTTTCATTTGCTATGTCCCATGTTAGGATTCGATCAGTTGTTTATTTTTTAGTCAACCAGAGGCCTTCTTGAAGTCAATAAATGAAAATTTGTTTTATAGTAAATTTATTTTCATCCATAGTGCCCTATGATATCTCGTATGTAACTATACGTCCATTAATAACGAACATGCTGTGTAGTGCCCTTTTGGTAGTCGTCTTGTTTGTTTTGTCTATCGTAATATAATCTTTATCCCCTTACCTTCCATTTTCTATGCTGAATGTTAGCATTCAATCAGTTGTTTATTTTGAACTCAGTCAGAGGCCTTCCTTGATTCAATAAATCAAAATTTGTCTTATAGTAAATCTATTTTTATCCATAGCGTCCTATGATATCTCGTATGTAACTATACGTCCATTAATAACGAACATTCTGTGTAGTACCCTTTTGGTAGTCGTCTTGTTTGTTTTGTCTATCGTAATATAATCTTTATCCCCTTATCTTCCATTTTCTATGCTGAATGTTAGCATTCAATCAGTTGTTTATTTTGAACTCAGTCAGAGGCCTTCCTTGATTCAATAAATCAAAATTTGTCTTATAGTAAATCTATTTTCATCCATAGCGTCCTATGATATCTCGTATGTAACTATACGTCTATTAATAACGAAGATGCTGTGTAGTGCCGTTTTGGTAGTCATCTTGTTTGTTTTGTCTATCTTAATATAATCGTTATCCCCTCTCCTTTCATTTTCTATGTTGCCTGTTAGGATTCAATCAGTTGTTTATTTTGAACTCAACCAGAGCCTTGCTTGAGTCAATAATCACTATAAATATAATGACTATAAATCATACGGTCCATTAATAGTGAGGTAGTCCATTAATACACAACTGAACGTTTCCACTAAACAGACTCGAGTTTCAAAAACTCGTGACTCGAAAAACAAAACGAACTGTTTCAAAACACGCCAGTCTTTAAAAAGTTTGTGAAAAGTTGCTATTTTGTTTTATTGGACACGAGTTTGTGTTTTGTTTTTAGTTTGTCCGTTTGGTGGGAAACCGCCATTAGATATTACATTTAATTTTAAAACAATTTTTACATATTTAATTTAATTTTATTAATTCAATGCATTACAATAACGAATTCACATTATTATGTTGTTGGAAAACCTTATTGTAACATTTATTAATTTGATTTTATCTTTGTTTCTTTGTTATCTTTGTTATTCTTCTGATCATAAAATATAAATGATAACATTTATTATAACTATAACTGAATAAATTCAAGCACTATAATTCCCTGACGCACGCCCTGGCTAAAATATTATCACTAGAACAACAGTGGTCCAACTAAGTTATAGCAATTCTTCCGCGTACAAGGACTACTAAATGATATGGTATGCTGTTAATACTTGAGTTTCGTATACGATGTCTATTTATATAGTTTATGAGGTGGATATTATGTACGTTTATACATTGTAAATCATGATTTGGGATTGCTCCTCGTAATACTCATAATGTTGATAATGTGTCTTGGTTTGTTTACTGCTACTGCATCTTTAAGTTAAATTTGGTTTAGTAAGTTACACTGAAGAATTGTGATATTTTTAAATATTTACATATTTGTCTTATTACAGTGTCTTGAAAAGAAAAAGGAATAAAACCATTCTGAAAGCTAGACAAAAAGTCAAAAGAGTGTTTTTTTAATCCCGGCCAATTTTCTGACTGCAACCCTAATAAACTGTGTTGTTGTGGTGTTTGTATACATATATATTAATAAAGTATTCAACTAGTGAATTCAGAGGTTAATCGGTCATTCAGGTTGGCAAAATAAAAAAAGAAGTCAACTACTCCACAAGTTTATAGAAGACGTTTCGATTTATATTTCTAAAGCTTCATCAGATCTCTAAAATACAATAGATGATATAGAGTTTATAAAAAATACAGATCTAATAGTTCATAACTTACAACTCAATATGTAGTATATTAAAGATGTTATGTACTGAATTTTACTTATTATTTAGAACTAACTTAAAAAAAAAAACAAAGAACACACACACTTTGCAGAAAATGATGTTCATATTCGTAGATACGAAGATTTAAAAAAGTTTTAAACGGACAAACAACACAGTTTATTAGGGTTGCAGTCATAATATTGGCCGGGATGTTAAAAAAACACTCTTTTGACTTTTTGTCGAGCTTTCGGAATGGTTTTATTCCTTTTTCAAGACACTGTAATAAGACAAATATGTAAATATTTAAAAAATATCACAATTCTTCAGTGTAACTTACTAGTCGTTGAGATTATTTATATAAGCATTGACACTCAACATTTATAACACACATTAAAATATACAATTATGGACAAAATACATTATAAAATTTTTAAAATTTATTGTAAAAATAGTAAAACTTAGTTTATGGCATGTTTTACTGGTGTGTTTTAACTCATACAGAGAATGGAAAGTAAAAACACTGTAATTAACATGTAATTAGGTGTAATTGATGTTATCTTTCTTTTCAAGAAATACTAGAGGCCCTTCTTAGGTGACTATACTTTTTAAACCTGTCTTAATGGTATGCAACATATTATACATACAGGTGTAATTTATGTACAGGTAAATATTTATTTTATTTTTGGTGTTTTTCTAGTAAATAACAATAAATGTTGCTTAATTTATCTATGTCAGATTTTTTATTGATGCAAGATGTGCTAGATTTTATGAAACACATTTCCAAAAAAACACGTTTTGAATGGTTCTTTTCTTTTGCCAAAATACAGGAATCATCGAAATTGAATTCATGTTTCAGAGTTAGTGCATGTTCTGTCAATGCACATGCATTGATTTTTTTGGTTTTTATATCACTACGATGTGATATCACCCTGCTGTGAAAATTACGAGATGATTCTCCTATGTAAATTTTATTACAATTAGTACACGGTATAGAATAAACAACATTCGATGACTCCTGTATTGTGAAAGGATCTTTTGTTTTTGTGTAAAGCTTCGATACCGTTTTCACATTTTTGGTTGTAATTTTTAAGCCACTAACATTTTTGAAGATGTTCATTAGCTTAGGTGTCAGAACTGGAATGTAGGGTAGGCAACCATAAGTTATTTTAGATGGTAATATTGATGCGTTATGTGTCAATGTCAATTGTCGGATCTCATTGTTATGAAAATTTTGGTTGACAGAAACTTGTGAAGGAAAAGGAGAAACGAAAATGAGTTTATTTAACAGCCCTATTAAGTTCTTACCTTAGTGCAATTGCTCTCCTTTTCCTTGGCCTAGGACGTTTGCTGGGACTCATTCTTATCCTGTCAATTATAACTTATATCACTAAACTAATGTAATACTTGAAAATACGCGTAAACTAAAGAACTTATAACTTATACCTAAACTAATAATATATTACTTAAACATACTCGTAAACTAAAGAATTTCAATGTTTTCAAAATAACTAAGAATACTGTAAACTGTAAACACTAAGCAAGTTGATGAAGAAAATACAAGAATGAATAACTGAAAATGGATTCTGATTCAAGCGAACTAACTGACCGTACGTTCATGAGATTTGACGTCACGAAGGCGATAACGATGAAACTAAGCGCCAATGATGAGTAACACGTTTCACTATTAGATTTCAGTATTTTTTAGCAATTTTCTCGATTATTACTGGACACAGAAAGGTGAAAAAAAAAATCAACGATTACATAAAAAAAAAACTCATATCATATAAACAAATCTAATTGTTAAAGTCAGGTTCATTAATAAGTTATTATTCATTACTACAAGTAAACAAATTTTATAATTTCACAAATTAAAAATTACATTAATTTCGGAACATACTGAAATCCTGTCAAGTTTAGCTGTCTTTAAGTTATCTCCTGTGACATCAGCCATTTGGTCTGTGTCGTCGCTTCAACTGACAACGTGCAAGTATTCGAGCTTAGGAGACATGTAGTCCCTAAAGTAAATTTTTAATTTTAAATACATCCATTGTCATCGACCTACAGTTTCAACATTATCTAATGTAAAATGTGACACTTTACCAACCCAAACATGGAAGTCTTATAGACACCATATTGTTAGCAACAAATACTAGGCACTGAAGATGATCCGTAGTGATCGAAAACGTTCTGCCAGAACTTTAAATGTGACGACACTTTTTTAAAAAGTTTTAACTTGTTTGTTTTATACCTAAATACACATTTGTGAAGTGTTTTAACTTCTGTGTTTTTTTAAACGATGGTATACAGCCAATTACGGGGGTTTTCCCATTAATTAAAAAAAAAACTCTTTCAAGTGATGGGCGTAAAAAGTTTGGTAATAATAGAACGTTAAACAGTATAATCTAATTTTTCAACAGAAGTTTCAAAAAAATAATAAAAAAAAATAAGACCATCAGTTTAAAGACAACATAATTTCGAATAACGTGTCCAAATTTCGAGACATTTTGTCGGTAAATAACAGAGAAAACACTGTCCTTAGGTTGTGGTGCACCGATAAAACAGCGTTAAGACCTTTATTTTGAATGTGCAGAATTTTAAATTCTTTATTAAAAGAATGATTATGATCTACAGGGTGAAGTGCGTAAGTAGAATCTGTTTTTCTATTATTGAAAGCCCTTTTTTGTTCTGCTATCCGTTTGTTAGAGGTTCTACCCGTTTGACCGATTTAAGTTTTTGGACAGTCGCTACATGTAAGTTTGTGTACACCACTGTGTAAGTGCTTTTCTTTGGCTCTTGTTGTTCTTAATATATTTGCTTAAGCTGTTGTTTGTTCTGAAAGCTGACTTGTTTGGCTATTTTTAATGATATCTTGCCTGTATATGTGATCGAGTAAAAAATACTGGGTTTTTTCTCTGTTGGTGGAAATACTTATTTCAGGACTTTCTTAAGCACTTTTTGGTTTAAAATTGTTTATTGTCTGTTCGTTGTAGCCATTGTTTACTGCTATTTCTCTGGTATGATATTGTAACATTTTTTTTTGTTATTCATATATTAAATATTTCTAATTCCTTTTACCCCCGTGCGATACGCCTATGATCGTGTATCGATAGCAAAATATTGTAGATACCCAGCTAAAATGGAATTCCCTAATTAGGAATGGTTTTTAATCCTTCCGTCATAATATTCATTATGAAAAGAGTATAATGCGTTTTGGTATGCAGTTTCCTTTTCATAAATTGGTAATTTTCGTCGAAGGCCCGTTTCTTTTGACAATAACTTAATCCCAAGTATTGTCTGTTTCTTATGTCCAATTGTTAATACGATTATTTTACCTCAAAGTTTCCAATAGTCGTTAAGGCCTTACCTTCTGAGAAACACATACAACTGTCCTATCATTCTTGAGTGGGGGAATATTTTCTTCTTCCTTTTTCAGGGACAGTTGGTGAAATTTTGAGTGGAACCAAGTTACTTGTTGGTGGGCCGTTGTTGAGTTAAGGCCAATATCTCGTGTTACGCTTTGCTCACTTTATTTCTTATCGTATCGTCTTTGTGAATTATTTTCTAAGTGTGTATACACTTTATATTTGAGTTTTCTTTCCTTAGACTATATTAAATTATATATAGTTCTTCTATCTTCAGCTGTGTTCGTCCACTGCTGGACATAGGCTCTATCCATTTGCTTCCATCGATTTCTACTTTTGGCAATTCTGATAATACGTCTGTCCACTCTTCTGCGGTCTGCCATACTCTCGCCTGTTCTCTCTTGGTCTACGGTTAGTTAATCTTTGTGACCATTTTCGGATTATCTCGGGCAACGTGTCCGACCCATTGCACTTGAGCTTGCAATACGTTCTGAGACATCAGTAATTTTTGTTCTTTCAACGAATGACGTTATTTCGAATCCATGTCTCTCAAACTAATCCCTAGCATGGCCCTCTCATTGCTCTTTGGGTTGTACTGAGATGCTCTAAGGTTTTCTTTGTGAAGGCCATGGTCTCCAGTCAATATGTAGTCCATTATATAGTTCTACACTACCTTTAATGGTTATTAAATTCAGTGTTTAGTACCAGAAAAGTATTAAATTCAGTGAATTAAGCTGCCTTCGTCAAGATCTACTGTAAGTAATTTTATCTACAATTATCTGGGCGAGTAATATGGTATGGTACCATATCACCTGCCATTATCTGGACGTATCATCTATATCTTCACCTGAAGATTGCCGATTTTTGAATGTAATTGAACCATTCAAGAAATTTCTATAAATATTACCTATGAACATACAAGTCTCAGTTTTTTATTAAATAATAGTGCGAGATAGTTAATTGACTTAGCCAAGTGCGGTTTGGTTTATGTTTTCATTCTTGTAACCTTTTTGTTTTTTTTTTGTAAATTTAGAGTTAAGTAATTTTTGCTATCTTTTGTATTTCCTATAATTTTTGTTCATTATCTTTCCTATGATATCTCGAGATACGCCAAACTATATTTGTATATGATTGCCTTATACATCTTGGTAAAGGTATTTTTTTATTACATTATAGCTTAATTTTATACATATATAACACCATTTCATAGTTGTGTATTTTTATTACCTGGGTTGCATTTAGCAGCATCATAATTTTGTGTTTAATATATTGTTATTGTTTTATGCATGTATTTTATTTGTCGGCTCCTAACAAGTTCCCTGATAAAATAATAGCTCTGAACAATTACTATCTTTAAATATTACTATGCTTTTGAACTGTAGAAAGATCAGGCTGATTAAGTTTCGTAGGTAAGTAAGTGTAATACTTAATATATTTATTATTTGTTTATATATTGCGTTGACCAGATTTATTTGATAATTTACTGTTGGTATCTTTCCTTGGGTTTGATCTCTGAACCTAAATATCTTTTCTTATCTCTTTTCTTTTCTAAGGTTTTCTTAATTTTCTCCTTAACCCCAAAAAATTGAGTGGCGCCCTGTTTCTATCTTCTCTTATCTTTGGTAATTTTACCCATCTATCTTTTTGTTTATTTCTGTATCTTTTCTAATATCTCTTATCCTATCTTTACCTATTTCTTCCGTTGGATCCATTCCCGGTTCCAAAAGCTAGTTTCGAACACACGACTCGCTCTCCACCAACCATCTGGCTGCCGTCCGCAGTGTCTCCATTGGTTATCTTTCTAGCACCACCCAAAAAAGATTTCCGAGGTTACAATATTCAATTCTATTTCGAAGTTGTTTTTTGACATGGGAATTTCTATTATTCTAGGTAGAAAATGGTGGCCTTTTCGAAGTAAACATAAAACCATGTGTGGCGTAAACCTTCTAAATAAAGTGGCGACAGTAACTCATGTTCACATAACACAGTAAATGCCTTTTCGAAATAACCAATTCAATTAAATAAAATAACATTTTAATAGTTGTATTTAAACACAACAGTATATTCTTTGCTATCACGATGCAACGTTCAGCGTTTATTCACGATATAATATTCACTACGAACGTGTACATACATTTTCTCGCTGTCGATTCTAAATTCACCTGCTTCCTGCTTTTCTTTTAGACGCTCTCTGTACTTTCGACAACGTTCAGCTGGGGTTTGTGGTTGCTTAGTAGGCCTAAATTGTTTTAATATATCAGTTATTTTTTCAACAAAAAAAAATACTTAACTTCGTTATAAAAGACAAATCATTTAACTACCTTTGGTACCTACTTCCCCCACAAGAATATTCATAAGTAACAGGACTAGAAACAACAAAAAATCAAATAGATCACATCCTAATAGAAACCAGGCACTTCTCTAAGCTAATGGATGTACGTACTTATCGTGGGGCTAATTTCTTGGTAGGCGCAAAAATAAGAGCAAGAATTTCAAAAGCAAAAAAAGAAAATGCATTCAGTATAATTCAAAACTCTCGAAAGGGTCCCGCACACTAGAAAGGTATCGAAATTACCTTGAAAATAAAAACACAATATATGAGAATTTAACAGCTAGCGAACAATGGGATATATGTAGAAGAACAATTAAGGAAACGGCAGATGACGTCCTCCGACCAGAAGAACACACTCCACGCAACAGTTGTTTCGATGATAAATGTTAAGATATCACTAACAGAAAAAATTATGCGTATAACATGCGACAAAGAAGAACACGAGGAGCGTTCACCCAAGTCAACACGTGTTCACACGAGTGTACAAACAAGATAAGGAGCAAACGTACAAATAACTCAGAAAGGAAGAAAAACGCGTGCATCGAAAAAAAGCGGACCTTGAAAAGTCAGATTATGCAAGAGATTCAATTAATAAACGGAACAAATGAAACTAGAAAGTTGTATAACATTCTAAATAACACAAGTAAATAATTCAAACCACGGGTGACGAT